AAGGAGGGAGAGCAAGAAGGATAATCTCACTTCGAATAAACTCGGCGAACCCACAAGTCGCCTGCCTCACTAAAGCTTCTCTTCTGTACTCGTCTATCTTCTTTTACAATTGTTACTTTTACTTCAAAGCCACTGGAAGTGAAACGGTCGCGTTTGTATTGCTGTCACTTGCTCTTAATAGCGCAAATGAAACCACCTGGGTATTCAGGTGGTATCATTTGCGCTATTAAGAGCATCTCGACGGAAATGCAAAATCTAATTATAGTAAAACAAAACAAAAAAGTTGTAAGATGCATAAACAAGTCAATAGTTTGGGTGAAAGTTTAGTTGTCAGAAACAATGTGATTAGAGTACAGCACAAATCATTCGAGGTCGCAACTTGCAGTACGTTCTAGTGATAGTCCCCGACGCCAATCGAAGGGAAGCTGCCACCGCCAAAGGTGCTGTTCTTGGCGGCACTGACCGCACCGCAGCAGTGATATCTTCAACGGCGAATCATTCTGAAAGTGCGCTTCAAGAAAATAATGGATTTTCCGTGTAGTAGTCTCAGATCTAACCTGTGGTATACTTACAATAACTCGGTATCACTGATCCCAAATTATAATATACCACAGGAAAAATCTATTAGATAAGGCAGATCTATTATAAACCCACATTCGGATAACAATTCATATGCATCTGTTGGCAGTTCGCTTTTCTGTCCACTCGACATGCTCCAGGAATTAAAATATACGGAGAGCAAGATCACACTCAGATCGTAAATATTAAATCCCTCGTTTAACCCTATTAAAAAGTAACATCTCCAGCGAGTACTAGCATGTTTTACATAGTGTACATACACAGCCGTAACAGGAGCTAATTTACGCAGAAGAGGCAAGTATGCTTGTAGAATACAGCATACGAAACTGGCAAGTCAATAATCGACAATAACTAAATATGGATCGACGCACATGTGAGCTATAATCGTCTAGACAACTTGCAAACCTTAACTAAATACATTTGCGTCTTATTTTCATCCAGTTTGTATGAAGGGGCCGATCACAATGAAACCAACTTAACGCAAACACTCCCACAGTATCGCACAGCTGGATGACCACATCGCTGGGATTAATCCGTCGTAAACACTCCTGAAGCCTGAAATTCCACACTGAAGTATTAAATTCAACAGTCCTCCAAACAAGTCCACAATAAGCGTCATCCTCTTTACGCTAGTAGTTGTGCTTAACATCAAATTTCGAAGTCACTAATAGCATACTTAAGTACGTATTAAAACACTTGAAGTTGTAAAAAAAAAAGGTAGAACTGCATCATTTTATTTCTGTGGGATCGTGTACTCCGTATATTACCAAACCTGGATACATATTATTCTACATATATATTCGAAAAGCAAAGCTGAGGTAGTTAACAGCTGTAATTGGCGCTTGTGTACACAGTAGTGCGCCTTGTTAAGCCTTTTTCTTTTGCGACTTGCTTTTTCGAGCGATGGGCCTTCTCTATCTGGTTGGCTTGGCTTCCTTTGTCGCCAACACAACTATTGACGCCAATTCGCCTATTGTAACCTCGAGCGTCGGGGCCCCTAAAGTTTCCAATCAGTCCTCCTAGTACGTGTGTTGTCTCCTCGACGAGATTCTTGAGAACTAGCGAGGTATTTAACAAGAAGAACCCGGGTCACCAAGCGTCCTGGATTGATTCCATCTGTTTTAACTACGGTTGGTTCGAAGTCAAAGACGCGATCAAGCAGGCGATGAAGAATCCAAAGTCGGTAAATATCGCGAAAGAGGAGTAGAGTGCGTGGCTGGATACATGTCTAGACAATGTAACGCCCCCTAAAGATGCGTTTCGCTTGTTGCGTCTTGACAAAGCATTTGAAAATAGTCTCAGCAGACCAAAGTTCGCGAGGTGGGCCAGGTATTAGATAACTTCAATAAACGGTATCCCGACCAGAAAACGACGATGATCGATGGACTCAGGGCGAACTACAACGACTTACGGCTGCTGCGGATATTTGATGCAGCCAAAAGTGACCCCAACATGGAGAAACT